GAAGCCCCCGGCGACGGCGAGCACTGCAGCGCATCATCGCAAGCGGCCGCGCCCGCGCCGCACTCCTCCGAGACGGACCCGACACCCAAGACCCCCAGAGGTGACCCGACGCAGCCCGCCGACAACGCGCAGTTCATCTGCGCCGAATGCGGCAAAACCTTCAGCCTGAAGGGGACGCTGAAGCGCCACATGCGCACGCACACCGGAGAGAAACCCTTCAGCTGCGCGGTGTGCTCCAAAAGCTTCTCCACCAAGTCCGACATGAAGACGCACGTGGAGACGCACTCGGGCCAGAAGCCCTTCGGCTGCACCGTCTGCGGCGAGACCTTCACGCTCAAGCAGTACTTGAAGATCCACATGAAGCGCCACTTTGCCGACAAGCCCTTCAGCTGCACCGTCTGCGCCAAACGCTTCTTCACCAAGGCGCACCTGAAGACGCACATGAGGACGCACACGGGGGAGAAACCCTTCAGCTGCGAGGTGTGCGGCCGCTGCTTCTTCTGCAAGCGGGACGTCAGGACGCACATGAGGACGCACACCGGGGAGAAACCCTTCACCTGCCCCGTGTGCAATAAAGGCTTCTCCACCAAAGCGTACGTCACCATGCACATGAGGACGCACACCGGCGAGAGACTCTTCAGCTGCGACGTCTGTCACAAAAGGTTCACCTTTAAGACGCAAGTTAATAGCCACGTGTGTATCGGGCAGAAAAAAAAGCAGTAAAGGCTCTGCGGGACTGTAAATCATTCGCTGCCAACCCACGAAAAATCAATCTTGGACGTCTTTTGTCGTCAGTGGCAGTGAATGCGTTATAAAGGACGTTATCAATGTTTTTTTTTTTCTCAAGAATTTCAAACAGCTCACGTGTGTCTTAATTCATTCACTCCCAAAGACATTTTTCAACGTCTTTTCAGACTTGGTCCAGAATTGGCTGGTACTGACTGAGTTAAAAAGCGTCTCTGACATTCTCCGGATGAACTCACCAATTCTACGCTGAAAAACTCAACTATTCGCACTTGTTTGTGCATTTTGGTGCGCTTTTTTTTGGCAATCATTATCACAGAGAGCCTTCTGTATGCAACTCATGCTTCATGTGAAAATCAAGCAAAAATTCATAAAGTTGGGCAAGATTAGCAGGGAACAAAAGTACAAAAACAAAGACGACTTTAGGACCCATCAACGAACATTTCGTAACACTATCAAAACACATGAATTAGCAATAATTGTCAAAAATATCATTCTCTTAAAATCTATAGCCAATTCATTAGACAAGGATGACATTTTTAGCACTCAGCAGCCCCAAATCACACAAAAACCATGAAAACATTTTTGACACTCGAGGGGCGGGGGTGGGGGATGTTGTCCAGTCTAATCAATCCACTTTCATGAAGGCCTACAAAAAAATTTAGAATATTTACCTTTGAGAGGTTGACATTGCGAGGATTTGGACAATTTTAAGTTAAACAAATGACTGTAAACTATTTAATTTAAAGCCTTATCCTTTGACTGGGCTAACTCGAACTCAAGTAAAAGAACGAATTACTTGGCAATCAAACACTTCTGTAAACACTCACAATGAACGGCGCTTGCTCAAAGTTCGACTGGCAATTCGAAGGTACATTTTCTATAGTCGTTCCCCTTTAGCAACGGGCAAACACGACATGACTGATTGTGGCTTTGCTTTTTTTGTCTACATATAATATGCGTTCATATCCAACACTTTGTGACAGCATCTCACACCATATGGCATTTGTCTTGTCAGACTGGCCAAGTAGTTTTACGCAATTTTAGTATTACTTCGCAGCGGTTGACGTCTCTTTTATGACCTCTAGGAGTGTTAGAATGTGACTTGAAAAGTGGCTTGTGCCGTTTTAAAATAAAGGTTTTATGATACTGAGCAGTTTCAGTCCAGAATGAATTCACTTTGCATTTTTTTTTTTTATAATTTTTTTATTTTTATTTTTAATGGGAACGATTGTTTTGAACCTGTACTCAAATAATGACAGTGGTGCCTCGGGATTTAAGTGTCCCAACTTTTTGACGATTTTTTTTTTTTGTTTTGTTTTGTTTTTTTTAGATCCTAGCCATTGTTCAGATGCTGTTTGAACACAAATGTTGGCGTAGGACATCTAGACAGACAATGTCAGGATAACTTAGGCATAAATTCTTAATGCTCTGCAAAGAGCCACTAGTACTACACTTACCTAGGAGCTTTATGTCTATCCTCATGGGTGTATTATACTGTCCCCTAGTGGCCAAGTCGTACATATACCAGGTGGAGCAGTGGGGGGAAAAAGGCGGCCAAATGATCAAGACTGTTAATATAGCTTAATCTCACTGTATGTTTTTAATCAAGTATGATATCACAGAGTGCTATTTTTCAATGTATGCTGTATCTGGGAAAAAAAAATCCCTGAATTGACTTAACATGGTCCCTAGGTTCACGTGTGCATTTTAGGTTCCGAGTGAAATTTCACCGGAAAGCTCTTGCGTACATGTGTGTCATCTCAAGACAATCTGTGACGCAGGGAGTCATGCTGTCGATATGTCGTGTAAGAATAGATATACTGTAGCACTACTCTGACACCCACACAGAAAAAGTAGGCCATCGGCTTTAACAGTTGCAATGAAGTCATGCGGCTATTTTAAAACGATACACAAGACGATTGTGGCGTGATGACGAGTACGCGCGATTTGGGTGCGTGTTTAACAGTGGAAATTCCTCCTGGGGTCTGTCACAGGCCCACTCAACTATAATCAGTAGATTGACGAGGAACCGGGAATAGTTGAGGCAGGACACCAAATGCGATAGCAGGGCTCCACAAATAGATGAGAAGTGAGGCTCCTGAGTTGCTGTCCTGAGCTCTGCGATCGCTGGACGCGCTCCAAAAGTTGCCTTACTGAGGCCTGAGATGCTCCTCATATGGGCACGGTTGCCTCGCAGCCAAGCGGAGAAGCCCGTCTGCTGGAACTGTGGCTCGCTGTCTGAATTGGACTAAGATGGGCAATTTCAAAGAAAATTTGCCTCTACATAGCCAAGCCTGCACTCAATAAATGTTTGATACAATTAGTTTTCTATTTTCAACAAACTTACTCATGTATCCTGTACCAAAACACACAAACCGTTTTTCCCCCTATACACACTGCACATTGCACTCTTTCTTCTGTCTCTTTGGCTCTCTTACACACACTCTCTACTTTATTTGTAGAGCACTTTAATAGCTGCATACAAAGTGCACCAACTCGCTAGTCCAATTTAAAATTGTAGTGCAGTTTAAATTTCATTTCTTAAGAGGGAACCAAGGGGCAGCCAATACAATGAAAACAGCAGGGGTGTCAAGATTGAACCTTGTGGAACACCATGCAACAGCTGGGCAGAGTGTGACATAAAGCAACCAAGGCTTACACAAAATGTCTTGCCCACCAAGTAGGATCAAAACCACTCTAGAACACTAGCACTAATACCCACCTGGTGCCACAAATGAGCCAACAGAATACTGTGGTCCACGGTATCGAACTGATTTTTTTTTTTCATCAGTGGTGGTAGTACCAGGCCTTTGTCGAGAACAGATTCTGTTTCAAGAAACTGGCCATGATAGCGTAAATTATACTTTGCTTTGCAGTGATATCCATAAAGTTTCTCAATGTACCACAGAACTGCAGTTAGAGGTTGACATGTTTACAAAAAGTGCAAAACCGAAGCTGTCAAACGCTGATGGCTTCGCCTCTGTCCAAATGATACCGATCACTCAATAGAAAAATGGAAGCGCATCGTGACTTCTGGGACACCCTGGACATCATGAGCACAATCAAATATTTTTTTTTGCCATGTCATGTCTAGAACGCCGTAGTTTTTATAGAACTGTGACGCACCAAAAGGTCATTAAAAGGGAAAGTGCCATGTCGATCTGGACTTGACCTTGACCGTACTGAGTGCCCATTTCTAAAGTCCCTTCCGATGGCCATTTACAGATGAAATACAGTGAAGCGTGTGGTTAGACACTAAACAGAGCATTAGCCAACCCCTAACCACTACACTAAAACTGACGTTATGGACCGGGTCGTCACTTGAATTGTGTATTCACTTGTCTGATGATGCAAGCACACCAGTTGTGTTTGTTTGTGTGACACATTGCAATCATCTGTCAGGGGCAATACCTTAACACCACTCTCCCCCCCTTGACAGTAGGCCGGCTGTGAAATCTGAGTCGGGGGAGCCAAATTTAGCCCCCTACCAACACACACACACACACACACACACACACACACACACATTCAGCAAGCAGCCCCAGCCAGGGACCGCAGAGGCACATCGGACCCCGAACCCGAGAGGTGGTCCCGCTAGCTCCCTTACGGACCAATAAGGACAGTGACGCTTCTTCCTTCTTGGGCTCATTCTTGAGGCGAAACTGTAAAGAGAAAAGGCAAGAAAAGAAGGAACTCTGGACGAGAAGTTCACTTGAAGGCAAGTGTGTGTTTTATCGGGGTTATTAATATTTAACAATACTTTGATCAGGCATTGTTTAGTATTTAGTATTATAGGGCTGGTATGGAAAAAAATGGCAACTCATGATACGGTATTTTAATGCAAGATATTGATACTGTTGTGTATTTTGAAACGGGCTGTAAGATTCATGGATTATCAAATATAATTATCGATTTGATAATCAATGAGTTGTCATCGCTATTATTTGATCCCATGTGAAATGGTCAAGAATAGAATAGTCCCCCTGCCCATTGTATCACATAACCGTATTCTGATTAGGATTGCAAAAATCCTGGATTTTCCGGGACGAAATCAGATATGGAAAATTTGGACAATTAAGGAGAAGTACTTTGCATGGATGTCTGCTTTTGACAAAAGCTCAATGTTTAGACTCATGTTTGTGTATTATACCTTTCCGTTAAATTGCCACGGAAAGTTTACAATTTGAAATATTTCTAAAGTGTCCCTAACTTCACGTGGGAACTGACCTGTATTTCCAGGCTGTTTACTTCTCATACACAAGACAGTTCTATCCCATTTCAAATACTTCACAGGAGGCCTGACGGGCTTCACGTGGTGTCGTGTGAAAGTTTCCACGTTCATATTTAATGTTGTCTTCCATCTTGGGATGCGGCGTTTAAGAGCTATTTGCATTCTGGCTTCATAAACATCATCCACACTTTACTTTTCCTGGGTGTTGAAGGACCCCCCTGCTGGCTTGGCCCATCGTCCGAGGCGGGCGTCGGGGTGCCTGCAGCACGGCCCCGTTTAAAAATAACAGCAGCTGCTCCTTGGGACGCCATGAGGCCTCAGAGCACGTAGCGATACGTACAATGTTGTTTCGTAACAGCCCACGCGTTCAAACAGTTGCCAAAAAGCTCCATGAAATAATAATATATATAAATAATAGTTTCAAGAAACACTTCCATGTATAAATAAGATGTTAATGTTAATGGGTTGGAGCTGTAAAGTCTTTTCACACAGGTCAGGGTCAGCAAGGCCTTCCCTGTATTTCAAAATTATAACCGATCTTATCTCAACACCATTTATTGAATCAAGAGAAAATATGCCTCGGTCAGTGTTCCAGTTTCGGATGTGGCCCTTTGCAAGATTAATTGTACACCGCTAGCCTAGACGTCTGTATTTAATTGTGTGAAGTTCACATGAAAAAAAGAGGATTTAGAAATCTGCTGTAGCCATTGAAAGGGAAACCACGCTCCTTCTAAAGATGGATGCTACATTGCTAGCATCATTCTGATGCCTACACATCCCGTAGTGTTTGAGCCACAAAAAATATCTGCTTAAAGCCTCCGGTGTCTTGAACAAATCCCACTTGGGTTGTCATGGGGCTTTCCACACCATGATGAGGGGCGCTAGCCAGTCGCAAGCTAACAAGCGTCTGAAGCTCCTTTTGGCTGTCAGGCAGGAGACTTGGGAATCTAAATAACGGCACCAAGATGCTCTGTAAATTGTGGCGAGCTAGGAAAGAAGTATTTTGGGGGTCTATTGAGCTAGCTAGCTAGTTAGCTATAGTGGTAGAAACGCTCTTAGATCAGTTCTTGGACCCCTTTAGTTCAGTCTGAGTATATTAGCCATGAGTTGAAATCTTCAGAACGCCAATGTTGGCTATCTTGGCTAAACAGATGACACACAGATGTAATAAGTAATGTTTCCAAAAACCAAAGACAAAGTCTGACATTTTGGGATGATGATAAGACTTGAACTTGGCTTTTAGCAGTCATATCAAATCAATCACTAAAACAGCCTTTTACCAACTGAAAAAAAAACATCTCCAGACTGAAGCGTTGCTTGTTCCATGCGTTTAACTCCAGTAGACTTCTTACTGGACTCACTCAGATGATCATCAAACAACTGCACCCCAAAGGCTTTACAATGGCCACCAGTCAGCTGTAGAATATATTTTAAAATTCTGCGAATGGTCGATAAAACCGAATGGTTTGGGCCGATAATAACTTTCAAATCTAACAGTTTTGGTGTTTTGCAGGATGCAGGACGGGAGTTGGAACCAGCCACTCCCCCCGATCTCTGTGCTGCTCAAGGACTCTGCGGAAGGTGTTGCCGCCGCCGCCGCCGCCCTAGAGGGGGATGCCGCCCTCCTGACTGAGCCGGACACTGGCGACTGCGCCGACCTCACTGCCTTCCTGAGCGCCGAGGAGATCGACCGCAGTCTGGACCTGGCCTGGGAGGCGTTCGAGGAAACGGCGGAGAATCACCATTTGGACCCCCAACAGACTCCTTTGAACAACAGTGAAGCTGTCCAGGAAATCAAAACCTCCAGCACGGATGACACCACTCCACCTCTTCATCAGGCGGATGGGTCCTCACCTGAGAAGGTGGGCCGCCTCAAGCCGGTCCCGCCGGTCTACAAGCAGGATAAACCTCGACTCCTTCACGAAGGCTTGGAGCTAAACGACCGCGCGTCTTCAGCCTCGGAGTTCTGCAGCCGCGCTGCTACCTTCATCGAGGAGCTGTCATCCATTTTTAAAGGTTCCTCTCACCTGGAGCACGGTGGGGAGGAGGAGTCGTCCTCCCCCGATAGCGGATATCTATCACCCGGGAACCAGCGGCCGGGCGCTCAGGGGGCCTCGGCCGTGCCCGCCACCGCCTGCCAAACGGAGCAGACGCAGCAAGCGGGACCTCCGGAGGGGGCGCCGGTCGCTCCCGAGCGCCAACCCGCTGGGGGTGCGCCGGCCGCATCGGGACCCCTGTCACCGCCGTGCTTCGTGCAGAAGCTGAAGAGTCAGGAGGTGGCGGAGGGCAGCCCCATTCGTCTGGAATGCAGAGTCAGTGGAAACCCACTGCCACTCATCAGGTACAACAGTTCATCATTTTTTTTTTTTTCCTGATATACAAGGGATAATACAAGGGTTCACTGTGGGTTCATTATTTGGCAATTTGCAAAGACGTTCAGTGAAAGGTCAATGCAGTTCAATGTGAGTTGACTATTTAGCAAGGGACGGTGTGATTTTGTGTGTGAGTGTCTGGACGTGAGCTGTGGCCAGCAGCATCTTCTGCGTGAGTGCGCTCATTGTGTTTATGTGTTTTTACCGTTCCCCTGGTGTTCAACAAATGGCTGAAAAGAGAGAGTAAAAAAGTGGCTTCACTTTTGGCATGAAACAAAGCAGAGCCGTGAAATGCAGGTTCATTATTTGGCAGGAAGCAAAGCAATATACTCAACTGTGGGTTCACTATTTCGCAAGGAGTCGAACGTGGCTTCATTATTTGACAAGAATTAAGGCAGTGCAGTTTTTACTGGGGCTCGGTATTTGGCAAGCAATTGAATGTGTGCATCACTATTTGGGAAGCAGATTAATGAGGGTCCATTATTTGGCAAGAAGCAAAGCAGTACGGTACAATTAATCATGGGTTCTCTCCCGGGGTTAAAGGGGGACTTGAGAAAATAATGTCCAATAAAATTTTGTTTCTGACGGCGCCCCGGTGTAGCACCATCCCTTGGTTCACTATTTGGCAAAAAGGAAAGCAGTAGTGCTAAATGCCCTTTTCACTATTTGGCAAGCAATTCAATGTGAGTTCGTTGTTTGGTAAGAGGCAAGGGATTAGATTTTGCATGTGTAGCTCACATAACGGCCACTGGGACCTTAATTGGGCTGAAGTCAACATGAAATGACATCAGAATGTGTCGGCAGACGCTCTTCAGACCGGCCGGGCCTGTGTGCAGATATCAGTGAAGCAGTCCAGACTGAATGCGGCGCTGTCCATCGGCGATAATGCCGATCCTCACTCGACTTTCACTTTCTCTGTGAATGCGGTACAGTACCGTCAGTACTGGATCCAGCTGATGTAGGGACAAGTCTAGTTTATGTCTGCGTGGTATTCCACTTGAGAGGACATACTTACTCACATACACGCACATGAACCGTCCTGCCCCCACACCTCAGTTATTCACAGCACGCTAAAAATACACTGCACTCTTGTTTCCAGACATGTAATCACACACACACACACACACACACACACACACACACACACACATGCTCATTAAAATTGTGCAATCCTTTTCCATGTTCGTCACTCATTGAGAGTTCTTGAATATCTTGCAAGTGCAGCTGTGGGCAACGTGTCTCTTGGGCCTTATATGACATCACCATAGGAAGTAGTTTGCGAAAACTCAAATATGTAATTTGGAAGATTTGGTTTTCGTTTGAACCTATTTTTTCCCCATGTGAGCCGAAGTATTGAGCACGAATCATATAACCTGATTTTTGTAGTATTTAGATTTTTGTACCCCATCTATTTAACTATAGAAAAGAAGAGCTTGCGATCCAATGCATACCACATCATGTACATCACCTAGCTCTCTATCTGGAAAGGAACAGCTCATGACTGAAATCTTATTACATCATAAAGTATGCCCAACATTCATCTATATATGGAACGTCCCATCCCATGACCCAAAGCATACCCCATCACCAGACTGAATGCGGCGCTGTCCATCGGCGATAATGCCGATCCTCACTCGACTTTCACTTTCTCTGTGAATGCGGTACAGTACCGTCAGCACTGGATCCAGCTGATGTAGGGACATGTCTAATTTATGTCTGCGTGGTATTCCACTTGAGAGGACATACTTACTCACATACACGCACATGAACCGTCCTGCCCCCACACCTCAGTTATTCACAGCACGCTAAAAATACACTGCACTCTTGTTTCCAGACATGTAATCTCACACACACACACACACACACACACACACACACACACACACACACACACACATGCTCATTAAAATTGTGCAATCCTTTTCCATGTTCGTCACTCATTGAGAGTTCTTGAATATCTTGCAAGTGCAGCTGTGGGCAACGTGTCTCTTGGGCCTTATATGACATCACCATAGGAAGTAGTTTGCGAAAACTCAAATATGTAATTTGGAAGATTTGGTTTTCGTTTGAACCTATTTTTTCCCCATGTGAGCCGAAGTATTGAGCACGAATCATATAACCTGATTTTTGTAGTATTTAGATTTTTGTACCCCATCTATTTAACTATAGAAAAGAAGAGCTTGCGATCCAATGCATACCACATCATGTACATCACCTAGCTCTCTATCTGGAAAGGAACAGCTCATGACTGAAATCTTATTACATCATAAAGTATGCCCAACATTCATCTATATATGGAACGTCCCATCCCATGACCCAAAGCATACCCCATCACTTGCCCAACTGCTATCTATGGAAATGAAACCGTCATTGTAGCTTCCCCCTGACCCCCACAAGATGTTTTAATTCTGGCCTAATTATTATGTGACATCATTTGAAAGGAGTTTGCGAATATATCTTCATGACTTGCAAATACACTGTAATGTATTTTTACAGTCGTGGTCCAAAACATACCACATCATATGTCCATGAAAAGGAAATGCTCTTCTTATCTATCTATCTATCTATCTATATCTATCTCTCTATCTCTCTATCTATCTATCTATCTATCTAGGTAGCTAGTTAGCTAATTAGCTAGCTAGCTAGATATCTGTCAATTTATCTAGCTAGCTAGCTATCGCTCTACCGATCTATCTGCATGTCTATGTAATGACCGACAGAGGGCAGCAAAGACGGCCTTATATGACATCACCATAGGAAGTAGCTTGCGAAAACTCAAATATGTAATTTGGAAGATTTGGTTTTCGTTTGAACCGATTTTTTCCCCATGTGAGCCGAAGTATTGAGCATGAATCATATAACCTGATTTTTGTAGTATTTAGATTTTTGTACCCCATCTATTTAACGATAGAAAAGAAGAGCTTGCGATCCAATGCATACCACATCATGTACATCATCTATCTCTCTATCTGGAAAGGAACAGCTCATGACTCAAATCTTATTACATCATAAAGTATGCGCAACATCCATCTATATATGGATCGTCCCATCCCATGACCCAAAGCATACCGCATCATTTGCCCAACTGCTATCTATGGAAATGAAACCGTCATTGTAGCTGCCCCCTGACCCCCACAAGATGTTTTAATTCTGGCCTAATTATTATGTGACATCATTTGAAAGGAGTTTGCGAATATATCTTCATGACTTGCAAATACACTGTAATGTATTTTTACAGTCGTGGTCCAAAACATACCACATCATATGTCCATGAAAAGGAAATGCTCTTCTTATCTATCTATCTATCTATCTATATCTATCTCTCTATCTCTCTATCTATCTATCTATCTATCTAGGTAGCTAGTTAGCTAATTAGCTAGCTAGCTAGATATCTGTCAATTTATCTAGCTAGCTAGCTATCGCTCTACCGATCTATCTGCATGTCTATGTAATGACCGACAGAGGGCAGCAAAGACCTATGAGCCCATCGACCAGCATGTCTGGACATTTCTTGGGACAAATGACATCTTCAGAGTGGCTTTTATCTCAATTTTCCTCAAAGAAAGTACCCAGTAATAATAACTAAACATGATGTATTTGCAGCGGCTCGTTCCCTCACAACCCGAGTGAGACTTTACTTCAATTAGTCGTTTTAACAAATTATAGTTATTGTGTTGCCTGGGGTGCTCTGTGCTAAACCCAAGATGAGCGAGTGGATGGATGGCAGCTCAGAAAGAGACACTTCGGCCTCCCGGGCGTGGCCTCCATGTGGTCGCCACAGTTTGTCTCCCTTTGTTCGAATCCACTTGCCCTCAATAAGGTCAAGGCGAGCTGACTAAGCTCAAGGGTGATGCATTTTCTTGTAATAGGGAACAACCACCACCATGCAGCAAAAGCAGCGACTGCTATCTATGGAAATGAAACCGTCATTGTAGCTGCCCCCTGACCCCCACAAGATGTTTTAATTCTGCCTTAATTATTATGTGACATCATTTGAAAGGAGTTTGCTAATATATCTTCATGAGTTGCAAATACACTGTAATGTATTTTTACAGTCGTGGTCCAAAACATACCACATCATATGTCCATGAAAAGGAAATGCTCTTCTTATCTATCTATCTATCTATCTATATCTATCTCTCTATCTCTCTATCTATCTATCTATCTATCTAGGTAGCTAGTTAGCTAATTAGCTAGCTAGCTAGATATCTGTCAATTTATCTAGCTAGCTAGCTATCGCTCTACCGATCTATCTGCATGTCTATGTAATGACCGCTAGAGGGCAGCAAAGAACTATGAGCCCATCGACCAGCATGTCTGGACATTTCTTGGGACAAATGACATCTTCAGAGTGGCTTTTATCTCAATTTTCCTCAAAGAAAGTACCCAGTAATAATAACTAAACATGATGTATTTGCAGCGGCTCGTTCCCTCACAACCCGAGTGAGACTTTACTTCAATTAGGAGTATTTAACAAATTATAGTTATTATGTTGCCTGGGGTGCTCTGTGCTAAACCCAAAATGAGCGAGTGGATGGCAGCTTAGAAAGAGACACTTTGGCCTACCGGGCGTGGCCTCCATGTGGTCGGCCACAGTTTGTCTCCCTTTGTTCGAGTCCATTTGCCCTCAATAAGGTCAAGGCGAGCTAAATAAGATCAAGGGTGATGCATTTTCTTGTAAGAGGGAATAACCACCACCATGCAGCAAAATCAGCGTCAACATTGGTTGTTCAAACAAGAAAAAGTTCCCCCCACCACAAACTTAGCCACAGTCTAATCAGTCCTTCGTCAGACACAAAATGATGTCAGCCAGTTAGGTAAGAATGGGATACATTTTTCCATCACCCCCTCCCCAGAGAATGCTGCATTTTGACAGCTATGCTTTGTGAAATGATCTATCTATCTATCTATCTAGGTAGCTAGTTAGCTCATTAGCTAGCTAGCTAGATATCTGTCAATCTATCTATCT